AGCATCCCTCAAAACAAAGAATGGAATCACGATGGAAGTTGTACAATGTTATGCACCCACCGATGATAGCAACGATGACAATAATGAGCAGTTATGTAAGAAGTTCAAATCAATTATAGCGAAGTGTTGAGCAAAAGACCTGACCATCCCAAAGGGAGAAATAAACGCCAAAGTCCGAATGGACAACAACGGATATGAAGATATCATGGGACGACATGGACTAGGAGGGAAATACGAGAATAGCGAGAGATTCGCCAACTTAGATGCATTCAACAAATTGGTTATAGGAGGCACAATATATCCACACAAACGCATACACAAAACTATATGGGTTTCACCGGATCACACAACTAAAAAACAGATCGATCACATTTTTATACACAAAAAATTCGAAAGGACAATGGAAGACGTAAGAACCCGGAGAGAAGTTGACATACCTTCACATCATCACCCGGTGGTTTTCAAGACGAAACTGAAGATAAAGAAGTGGTAGACAACTGAGGAAACAGTATTACAAAGGTTCAATAAAACCTTCCTTCCACATACTGACAAACTCAACCAATTCAAGATAACTCTCAACAACACGTTCCAAACCTTACAAGATATACTCGAAGAAGAAACTACGATGGAAGGCAACTGGAAAGGGATCAAAGACGCATTAACTTCAAAGTGTCAGGAAGTGCTGGGCATCAAGAAGCATTATAACAATGAATTGATCTATATCGAAACCCTAGAAAAGATTCAAGAAATGTAAAGCAAAATGAGTAATTAACAACAGCCGAACACGGGCAGAAAAGGTCAAGGCACAATCTGAATACACAGAAGCAAACACGTAAAAAAGAGCATTAAAACCGGTAAGAATAAATACGTGGAAGAGCGAAGACAGCGGAAAAATTTGCAAGAGGAAATATAAAAGAACTATATGACATGACGAAAATCCTGGTAGGGAAATATAGTGAACCAGAGAGACTGGCTAAGGAAAACGATGCAAGCCAATCACTGAGATTCAAGAACAGGGGAGCAGATGAGTAGAATACCTCGTGGAACCGTTGAATAGACCAGCTTCAATGAATCCACCGGACACCGAAGCAGTGCACACAGACCTTCCTATCGATGTCACTCCACCAACGACCGAAGAAATCAGAATAGCGATCAGATAAATCAAGAGCGGGAAAGCAACAGAACCCGACAATATACCAGCTGAATCACTGAAGTCAGACATCGAAGTAACTACAAACATGCTTCACCTTCTATTCAAGAATATTAGGGTGGAGGAACAAGTGCCGATGGACTGGAAAGAAGAACACCTTATCAAGATTCCAAAAAAAGAAGATCTGAACAAATGTGAAAACTACAGAGGCATCACACAACTGTCAATACCAAAGAAAGTCTTTAACAGAGTTTTGCTGAACCGGATGAAAGATGCAGTAGACGTCCAACTTCGAAATCAACAAGCTGGGTTCTGTAAGGATCAAGTGCTTACCCTCCCCCTTTCCCTTTCTTCTGGTGGTTGAATGTATTACGAAGAGCTCTATATCTCAAGGGAAGCACGAAATACAATGGACAGTTTGCATGTGGCTAGATTACATGAACTTCACAAATAACCTATGTCTTCCATCGCATACACACCAACAATTGCAGATGAAAACAACTAGTGTAGCAGCAACCTCTGCATAAGTAGGGCTCGACATACACAAATGGAGAACCAAGGTCCTCAAATACAACACGGAGAACACTAATCCAATCACACTTGATGGCGAAAATCTGGAAGATGTATAATCCTTCACATACCTGGGAAGCATAATCGATGAACAAGGAGGATTAGATGCAGACGTAAAGGCGAGGATTGACAAAGTAACGACAGCATTCACACAACTGAATAACATATGAAACTCAAAACAACTGTCTGCAAGCCAACATAAAAGTGAGAATCTTCAGCACGAACGTCAAAACAGTCCTACTGTATACAGCGGACACTTGGAGAACCACCACAACCATCATTAAAAATGTACAAGTATTTATTAAAAGTTGTCTACGCAAGATACTCAATATCCGTTGGCCGGATACTATCAACAACAGCCTAATATGGGAGAGAACAGACCAGGTTAAAGCTGAGGAAATTAGGAAAAGACGTTGGAAGTGGATAGTAGATTGAAGAAATCGTCAAACTGCATTACGAGGCAAGCACTAACTTGGAATCCTGAAAGGAAACGAAAAATAGGAAGGCCAAACAACACACTGTGTCAGGAATTGGAAGGGGACATCAAATAGATGAATAGCAACTGGAAAGAAATGCCCAGGTCAGAGTTGGATGGAGAATGCAGGTGAGTGTCCTATTCTCCTCCATGAGGGGTAATAGGCATAAGTATGTTTATTTAACAGAACTTTGTAGCTCGATTCTCCCCATAAAACCGATCAGTGAGAAGTTAAATCAAAAGAATGATCATTTTAGAGACCCGTATATAACAGAGTAGTTTAAAAAGTGGACATACAACTATGATCAACAAAGCTTGACAAAACTACTGAAAACTATAAGCTCTGGACAAATTGCAACTAATGGCCGATTCGCTATTTCTGTCAGATGATAATGGATTCCACAATCTCAAAAAATATTGGTAAATATCATTCTTTAGTATTTATCACATAACAATTCTAAGATACTGGGAAAATCAATAGTCAATAAGAAAGAATTATAACTTAATCTTTGTAAACTGAATGATATTACACACGTACAAAGCTATGGTTAAAGATTTCCATAGATTTATTCAACACTTAATTATTACAACTAAAAACGGCCAGACTATAATTTATGGACGAACCAATCAGATGTACAATAACGAGTCACGAATTTGAGCGCGGAATTCATCTATACATTTAGCTAAATGGAATTTCGGCATTATAGCTGATGTCAGTTCATGATGAAAACTCTAAATCTAATTTTTTTAAACCTAACCATCAATTGCAAATGGGAATTCTAACTGTTTTATAACCTTCATTTAGTCCTAATTAGTAATTGTTCACTTTCAAGGTCACTTCAGCGTCCTTCAAAGGTCATCTATAAATTATAGTCTCACCGATTAATCTTTTATTGTCATATGTACATCTTTTACATATTGCCTTAATTTACAAGCATTCTAAGTAAATATATAGTAGATAATGATTAGCAATGGAATCCAGAATGTGCTTTTCATTCTAATTCTGTACTTGCCTGAGTTTATGAAGTTTAATAATATTAAAACATACAAAAAATTGGTCAAAATGAGATAACAGAGTAAGCAATATTTCTAAATAAAGTAAATCTTATTCTAAGAAACGGAAAGAAAAAGAAACTAACATACAAACATAAAGTATATTACATACATAAGATCACTCTCTCTCTCTCTCTATCTCTATCTCTATGCATACTTACATATAAGAAAGGAATCACAACATGAAACATGAAACACTTTAGTTATTTTTTATCTCAATAATTAAAATAAAAACACAACTACAATTAACCGAAAATATAATTTATTATTATAGTTAGTTCTTTATACAGAAATAATAAACAATAACACAGGTATATGTAGACCTGGTAACTAAAGATCAAAACAAAATCAATGAAATAGAATAATGCATTACAATCGATTTGAGACACATATCAATGATACATAACTATTGGGAAACAAAACAAAACAAACAAAATATGCCTTGAATAAACAGGGAAGAAAAAAGAGAATCTATCTAAATAAATAAAAATATAACTTGATTAATTTATATCAAGTATAAGACCAAAAAAACTGGAAGTACAATTCGACAATGAATAGGTAGATAGATAGATAGATAGATAGATAGATAGATAGATAGATAGATAGATAGATAGGTAGATGGGTAGGTAGATATATATACACACACAAAATGCTCAATATAGCAGTTAAAGAATAGTGAGAAAAATGTGTTCTTTTTCCAAAAACAATTCAAAGAGAAGATATAATTCAATGGTAGTGTAATAAAGGAGAACACAACTGAAGAACATCTTAGTCAATTCTAAGAATCATACATAAATACTTCATTTGTAATATATCAATTGTCCCAAAATTGAATGTTCCTTTTTGTAAATATCAATATATTGTGTCAGATTTCATTATTCCTGCATTTTCACATCAATTGCTTTCTGTTCACGTTCTGTCCTTCTCGATCTTCTAAGTCCTGACTATTATCATATCCTACTCATATCGATATAAGTAGCACACACACACACCACCGTATTACCATCATAAGTCCAACAACAATAAACTAAGATTATATTGAATGTAATAAAATGATTCAATGCTGGAAAAAAACCATCACTTTTACAGCAATGAATAATTCTGATACTGACCTATTTAATGAATAAATACAACTAATTCATGAGAATTTACGCAGCAGCAGCAGTAGCAACAACAACAACAACAAAAAACAAAGTTAAAACCAATAAACTGTAAACTAAAAGCAAATTACATGTACCACATATATATTCTAAGAGAGAGAAAAAATTGTGTTTTTTTTCAACAAAATTCAACGGTATCATTAACATTAGCACCGAACTACATCACAAGGTAATCCTTCATCACTTGGATTCCTCAAGGCTAAATAAAGAAGAAGAGAAAGACCAGAGAACACATTACACCAAGAAATAGAAACAAACATAAGAAGAATGAACAATAATTGAATGGAATTAGAAAAAAAATCCCAGAATAAAATGGATTAGAGAATGCTAGTCATTAGTGAATTATACTCCATTGAAAGTAACAGGCGTAAGTCATTAAGTAATTCATTGTAACATTCAATATTGATTAAAGATATTGACAATAATTACTCATTTACCATATTATGTTCAAATGTAAACAAATTGTAATTGAGCAGTAAATGAAAGAAGCAGAAAAATAAAACCCTTTTTTTTGTATACTATATACAATAGTTATAGTGAAAACTATATTGACCAATCTAATAATTTCTTATCTACATCATTATTATTATTATTATGAATAGTAGTAGTAGTAGTAAGAGTAGGAGTAGTAGGAGTATATATTGGATATTGATTATTTAATTGTTCCATTTGATAGATTTGTCGCCAATCAACAGATTTATTTGAATTAATAATAAAACCAGGTAAACCAATTAAATCAAGTAGATTACGCCATATACCATGATCATATGGACGATTGTAATTTGTAGAATTATGAAACTTTTCATTAGATAAAAACTTATTATTATTATCATTATTATTATTGTTGTTATTATTGACATTAAATTCAACATATCTATCCATATTGATACGTTCATTTGTTGTTGCATTTAACCATACCATTTGATAAAATTGTGAACCAAATAATAATGTTGTCCAAAATGAATAAAAAGCAGCATTTATAAAACAGAATGTAATCCATGGATTGCATAATAGATATGACCAAATGATTGTAAATATATCTATTATTTATATAGAAAATAAATAAAAGAAATTTGTATTTGTAAAATATGATATATATATATATATTATAATAGATCATCAAAATATATCTATTCGACAAAGCATGGTATTATTAATCAACTACTCTTGATAACAAAAATCATGAAGCTCAATAAAAACATATATATTAGTCAGTCAATTAGTCAGAAACAACGTAGAACTTCGTACGTACGTACATCAGTTCGAGTTGCCACACCACATTAGCACAGAGATGCAGTGGTCGTAGAGGTAATAAGAGTATAAGCAGTAATCGGGAAGATTAGTGTTTAGAGATGTTACTTAAAGAGTATAATACAGTGAAATAAATTTGGGAAGAGAAAAAAAGAAACAAGGAGGAATAAGGAGATCAAAATTTGGGAGAACACAAAGAGTGGATGCACCTGCGCCATTGCAAACGATTTTGAGCCATGTCATTCAGGGTCTCTAACCATCAGTTGTTATCATCTCGCAGTCCCCAACCAGGTAGTCTACACCTACCGACATGACTCAGTCCACTTGCCAGTGACTTCATGGACTTGTGCCATGTTTTGGTCTGGTCGCCCCTAGCTTTCTTCCAATCTACTGTTATACCACTGAACATCGCACGTCGGGGCAGTCGGTGGTTGGGCATACGTAACACGTGTCCCAGTTATCTCAACTGATGAAGTTTCACTACATCATCAATTGATTTGCCAACCTTACCTAGTACCCGTTTCCTAACAACTGCGTTACTTACTCGATGGCCCCAGGATATACGAGCAATATTTAGAAGACACCTATGATCAAATACTAGTAGTCTACGAATATCCTCTACTCTTACCGGCCATGTTTCACTGACATAAAGTAGGACGGAACAAACTGCTGCGCAGTAAACCCGTCCTTTGGTTGATAGACGGATATCTCGCCTACGCCATAAATGACGCAAGTTGGCAAAAGCTAGTCGAGCCTTCTGTATCCGTGCTGAGATTTCGTCACACACCAGACCATAAGTGCTGATGAGACTTCCAAGATAAGTGAAGCGATCGACACGCCCAATTACTTCACTCCCTATCATTAGTTCGGGTGTCGATGCAACCCAATCCTGAAGCAACATTTTGCATTTCGAGGGGGAGAATCGCATCCCAAACATGCTTGCATTGTTGCTTAGAGTGGTCAGAAGACTCTGCATTGTCAGCGTCTTCGCCAATACAACATTAGCATAGAGATGCAGTTGACGATTCAAATCCCGTTAGTGGTAGAGGTTTATAAACAATGGGGAAGTTATGGACAGGAGGAAAACCATGACAAGACATCAATCAATGAGATCATTTTCTGAAGGACTACTAAGTCAAGGGGAGAATCACAGACCAATTAGTTTGGATATGAAAGGTAATTGTGACCAATGGTTGGAAACACTAGTTGAAATGGCTTAATTCATTCATCTCAAAAGTCTTGAATTTCAATATTATCTAATACATTTGAATAAAGAAAGAACAAATATTTTAGCAGAATAACATAAATTCATTTCGTGGATTCTCCTCAGCTGCTTACAATCTAAAATCCTAATATTAATGACGAAGATGAAACAAGTGCGCATACCTCACATTGGAAATGTATGGAATATATTGAGTTAATTACGTGGAGATAAAATAATACTAACGAACAATAATATGATAGAACTAACATTATTTAAAAGTTCGCTTATTCATAGGTTAAACATACGAATATTCTAGAACAGTACGGAAACAGGATTGTCGGAGTCAAAAACATATGATGTAACATTAAGAAATAATATTTAGAAATATGGAATAATTAAGTAAAGCTCTGAATTAAAAACCAAGATATTAGAAATCTTACGTAATAGTCTCATGAAAACGAGGTCACCAGGGAAGAAGAAGATTGGTAACTTATATATACATATATTTGAACACAAATATCGGTACAAGGGGCCACCAGATACATATACACCACATTATATCTTTTTATTGCAAGTTTTAGCAAAACATAATAAATTTGAATTTCTCTGTTTACCGATTATTTTAAAAGACTTCGAAACATAAACATCAAATCCACATTCGAGCAAATAACGAGGAACTGCATTGTGGAAAACCTCCTGCAAGTTTAGTTTCAAATCTTTTGTAATATATTCGGAGATGTACGTGCCATAGCACAAACATTGAAAAAAATCACAGAGGGTTAGTACTGATTATGTTTAGAAACTAAATCTGAGGTGGTCAAACAACAGACCATGTAGTCGCATATCACCATTTAGAAATGCATGTAAACTGTCAGAAGTAAGATAACTTGAGAAACTTTAAATCAAATGCGACTTAATACTACAATCTTTAGAAAAGTTTTAACTGAACATATTGCATAATGCTTTAAGTTGGTCATCATTAGCTGGATTGGATTCTGTTTATTAAAGACTAACACACTAATATAAAGTGATTAATTTCGTAAATTTAACCTTATTTTGCATAAATTACATTCTGTTGTATTGTGATATCCTTGTCAGTTTGTATTTGAGTCAAAATGAATCTGAGTATTTCACCTAATGTCTTTTATACTTTTGTATTACCAAACGTAATAAGGATCATAGCCATATGATGATCTCAGTTATAGTAAAGTATTAATAATTACATAGATTAAATATAAAATACTTATGGTTAACCGTTTCTATTTAAGGTAAAATTACTATATACACACACACATGCAAATGATCCAACATACGGCAAAATTATTAATAATTGAGGGAATTTCTAAACAAACAACAGAAATACTGTTGGATCTCCCATTTATAAACTGAGCTCTAGTATTGAAGTAAACTAGCTAAACGCTTGAAATTCAACCAGCGATGAAGATGCGGTTTAAAAACAAGCCAAAATAGTATAAGTAGTAGTATCAGTGATGGTAAAGAAGATTGAACATCAAAAAATATGATTAGAGGAGAGAATAAACTGGAGAAATAGGAAGTATAAAATAAATATGAAATTCAAGATCTAAGAGAAGATAAAGAGAGAATTCACCTGCACCATTGAGAACGATTATGAACCACTAACTCGTCTATCGATTTGTTATGCTTACCTATTACTGTGCAGTTAACATCAGAATTGCTAACTTGATGGTCCCAAAATATACGAGAAACGCTTCGAAGACACCTATGATAGAATGCTAGGGGTGATCGATACGCACAACTTCTGTAATTTCTATCATTAATTCAGGTAGTGATGCATATCAGTGCTGAAGCAACATTTGGCATTCGGAGGGAGTGGAACTCATACCAAACATGTTCACATTGTTGCTAAAGGTTGTCAAAAGACTATGTATTTTTACCAGCATCTCTATCAAACAGAACTATGTCCTCTGCATATCCTAATTCAGTAAGTGAATCTCCTGATAAAAGATCAGCCTCTGAAAAGTTAGACGGTGAGACAATTACCAATGAAAGAATGTATAAAACAAAGTTACATAAAAGTGAAAAAAGCCGACAGTCTTGAAGAACACCACTTATGGATTCCGATTACAGTTTTCCGTAAGCTCTGATATGCCCAGTATTGTTTAAGTAGAGAGCCTGTACAAAGTTTATGTACTTCTTTGGTACACCTCTAATAACTGAACATGATGATTGCATGAACTTCAATAATGTAGTTTATACCTATCCACAAGGCTCAGACTAACAGTAAATGATTTCACAGATTAATGTCATGAATAGTTCGACAGGCCCTAGCTTTCTTATTTCGAAGGACAGCGTGAATCGATGTTAGGCATATGTACATATTAAAATTTTATGAATAAACATACCAGTTTTCTCGGATGTTAGTGGTGTATTCGGTAGACAACTGAATTCATTTTGCCAATAAACAATAATACCCAACATAAATAGGTTGCATGAAACACTGGTCGATAATAAATATATAATAAAATAAAAATGATTCTTCATTCCAACACAATTATATATCCATGGACAATGATGGTCGAATCGTGCTACACATCGATCACATGTTGAGCAATGCTTTGATCTTAACGGTTTACGTATAAAACAAGTTGTACAGAAACGTTGTAATGGATTGATTGATAATGTTGATGACGAAGATTCTTCTTGATTGTTATTTGCTAATGTTAAATCATTTGTATTATTCAACACTTCATCAAGTAATTGAGCAATAGTATCTTGTTGACATTCTTTCTTAATAATTTCGTCTACGTAGCCAGGATTTTTTGTACAGCATAGAATAAATGTTGTCCATAGTACAGTAATAAAGAATAGAAACCAGAAATGTAACACCCAATGATTCGGTGTACGTAATGTAATGTGAAATAAATACGTTGTAGTTAATAACAATTTTGTACTTGTTGCTAAACTGAATAACATTACAGCCTTATTCAATAAAAAGGAAATGAAAATAAACATATACTATGAAATATATATACATATGCCTTATTATACAGAAACAGTTAATACATATGTAACAAAAAATTAATTTTAGATATTCAAGAAAACATTGACAAAATGAATTTTGAATCATTTACGTAGTCAAAACTCGTAAACTCAACCTTGTGTGACATTGTTTTGTGTGCGAGAGCTAGTGATACAATCTAGTTGGTCATAGCAGAGTAAATAAAGCGATAGGTGAACCTATAAACTATGAATGAAAATCAAGCCCTGAAATGCCTTGGTACGGCCGAAAGTGAAGAGAATCAACTCTCCCTCTCGAAATGCTCTCACATGGCCACGCGTATATAGCCTCTGACAGGAAAGTCCTACTCACTGCCTTCTCGCGGTATTACTGTCGTTTACGAAATTGAGATGACGTAAAGCGGATGTCCGGCGCTTTAACCGGGTTGGTGAACATAGAGAGTCCATCTAGGGGAGTTGGAAAACCCAGATTCCAAACCAATGTTCCACATGGTCTCCAAGATCCTGAAGGAACAAATGGCGTATGAACCAATTATTGGTCACCGGCTACCATAGGACTGCATCTCCTCACGATGCTCCACTACCTTGTGGATTAGATTTTCAGGTCGAAGGCTCCGGGTGTGGTTTCCTAAGAAAACTACCTGCTTCAGTTTGAGCACTTGGGAAGTATCATAGCTCTCATACAAACCCGAACAGCATCACAGCCCTCACACATATCAAATGACATTTGTGTGGTGCATGTATTTGGTGCCTCCTTGTACCAATATCTATGTGTTAAAATAAATAAATAAAATAAAGTACCTAGGACATAAATCATAATGTAACCGATCTGCCATGTGTACGTTCATACACTCGGCTCAAGTCAAACATATTCGGTGTGATGGTTGATGATACGATTATGTTTCTTAAAACAAAGTAGGGGAGATTAGAACTTGAAAATGACGATGAATGAAAAACAGGTGCCTTAGCCAGCATATTACCGTTTTTTCATGATCGGGTGGTACCAATGATCGTGATGGATAGCTTTGGAGATTAGACTGTCAAAATCTTTTCGTTCATCTCTATCTACCTCTGTTGTTAATTCAAAATTTAACTCTTAGGGTGTGTTTATCAAGAAGTAAGCTCAGCAATCAAAACAAAACACCTTATAAAGTTTAATACACTGGATATAAAAAAAGATTTCACAGGATCTAATCTAGTATCACATCACATAAACTGCATTTTATAAGCATTGCGTGTATTAATTTTGCACCAAAAAAATATTTTCAGATTATGACTTAATCGCCAAGGTGGAAGAATGTACTTGTAAAGTCTCAAAAACTGGATTCAACGATTCGTTCGGTAATATATATATATATATATATATATATATATATATATATATATATATATACCCTACTCATCGTAATCAATGTTTGGAAACTCTTGGTGACATGGCTCAGAATCCATCACAATGGCATGGGTGTATATACTCTCTGTCTTCCTTTAAACTATGAGATTAAAAACGCTTCATATCTTTCTGCATACTAATTCTTTCCTCCTGTACTATGTCCTTATATACAATCTTTCTTTTATATATTACCATCATTGAATTAACTACTTTTATGAATCCGGTGTTCATCTTGCTATGCTAATGAGGTAATGGCAACTTAGACCGATGCATATATGTGCCTGGTCCTACGTTATAGCTGACTGACTAACTGGCTGACTCAACACTGATGTGAGCTACAGTGTATTCACAAATAACCTTTCATATAACAGGTGTAATAATAGCACAAATTAATACGTGCACAAACCTATGTACTAAATTTAGCCATTAGTGTCTGACTGTCTCACTCTAAATTACAGCTTGAAGCTGAATAATGTAGGTAGAAATCTCATGTGGCGGGGGAGACGTAATTCTCTTAGTACTGTGGATAAGCTTTGTTAACGAGCATGAACCAGCACAAACATTAGACCCAGCACCATCACCAATCCATATGAAAATATTTTATAGGTATGATATAAAAACACCCATAAATATACAGGACTATTGAAAGGTGTAATAATGAATCAAAATGTTCACGTTATCCTCATCCCCTGATCTCATCTTCATAACTCACCTGTGACTTATGATCTGAGAATCGATCAATAATAAAACGTGCTGCAAATGATAATAATATTAATAAAAGAAATTTCGTGGAATATATTATCCATGATGAAATCTTTGACGATTGATCAGCAAAATTTAAATGATATAATGTAGATTGTATATCCCAATTTATAAGTAGACCGCAAGTAATAAGAATTAATGGTGGAAGCATAATTGTTATTCGTTGACGCCATACAGGTGAATAATGTAGCATTGATAAGCCTAAACGCGAGAAACGGTGCGACGAACTCATTATACTTTGTACATTTGCCATTTGTTTGACACGATCTGTTAACCATGGAACTACACGAACCTTGAAAATATTTATAGACAGAGGTATGAAAGTTGATAGTATAAAACAGTAACAAGTTTACCATATTTGCAAATAGAAATGAACATAGGTTACACAAATTTCATAATACTAGGACAATTAACACAATGTTGAGTTTCCCCATAAAATAACTTGAAAATTATAACATTCATTTAGTATTAAACACTAATGAGGTGTTTAGATTAAATGGATCATTGTAGATACTGGTAGGAATCCTCGGACAGATTTCTGCTTACTGTATTATCCCTTATTAACAAAGTGTGTTAAACGGTGGATTAGTACTTAACACATTCCATTTTGATCTGTCACTTGGTCGAAGCTTTAGACTCTGCCTCAGAAGTTGGACTGCATCGCCAGCGTTAGCACACAATGAACGGTCGAAAATCTGAGTACATGAATCGCATAAACTTAGCAAGCTAGATACACTTATTTTTCTCATTTTACATGCTCATTCGTACTCATAATGCAGTCTTCTATGAGTTAATTGTGAGACTGATTAGTAAAAAGTGACATGTACTAGAGAACTCAATGTGTCACACCAAAACTTAAGATAATCTATGTTATTACTTAAGCAACTCTGGATATTGATTCGTTTAATAGTCATAACAAGCGTAACACTGAAAAGTATGGGAACTTTTACAATAAACCATTTAGTCTATTAAGATTAAATCAGTTAAGAATTTCAAACTTTAACAATAACAAAACTACTGTCTGAACAAAAGTTGGTTATTGTAACTCAGCAGTCTAATTAGATGACCACTGTTTGATTGGAAAGACTGACCCTATTTTAAATTTTAACAATATGATCTACGAAATATTTCAAAGTGGAAAGTTCCACATCAATTTATTCGCATACATCTTTACATCCATTCAATCTCCCCAATTTTTAAAAGTGATCGACTCTACTGAACAGAAGCATTCTGCATTCTCTGTTAGCCTTCAGAGCATTTGAATTGGAACGTTAAGTGTGGACGTCGATACAATGTAAAAATCCCCAGTCATTTCTAAGACACCTAAGTATAATTATCAGCTAAATCGAATGACTGTTTGTGATTAAAGGAGTCAAGCTTTACTAATCTAGGTTGACCAGCTATTCAACTAACAGGTCAAAGGTTTGTTGCTTCGAATTCAAATTGAAGCATTTAATTTTGTGTAGACAGGATAACTCTATGAACTGAGCTTCATGCACATTATGCTACTTAGCAATGAAGTTTAATTAAAGATTTTGAATGCATAAAAATCTAACATTTGGTTTATGCTGCTCTTTCTAAACAGAACTGTACAATCATGGCTACAAAGTTATTGTTTCAAGCTTCCACGCTTTTTCACCAAGTCCAACACCGATTATTGAAATTGGAGGATTAAAAGCAATTTGTACATACTAATGAAAAGAAAGTTACCTCATACGGCGTTTTGTTTTCATCATTCAATGCATTCCAGTCAATACCACCCTTATCTAATTGTACGACGGCTTGGAAATTAGCGAACTGAACAGAATAATGTGCTGCAGTGTTGCCATGTGAATCAGTTAATCGCAGATTTGCACCATATGAGATTAACAAACGAAAAATATCAACCGATCGTACATGCATACAAGCTATCATTAATGGAGTGAGCCCATTGCCATCTCGACTAAAATGTTGAAAAGGAAAGTAATAATTATTACCGCAGTCAAGAAAATTACAGATGATTGAAATAAAAACCTCAAAAAACAGGACATTTTAATTGACTGAACACTAAATAGTTAGTTATACCATTTTTTATCAGATGTACCCAATATTTTCAGTCACTAACTGAAATCCTTTAGAATACCCTGAGTTTGTTTTAGTAGAGTTATGGCTACTGTTACAATGATATAGTGGAGAAGTCATAGAATTCCAAAGAAAGTATTATGAACATTATAATGATGTCTTTTAAACCCAGATCGTGGGTTTGATGTTCTAGTTACGGGTATGAATTTCAATTATTAAACTACAGATAAAATGCTGTCACAGTTATAGTGACCCTGATAACCAAATTTCATTCCTCACACAAAAGGTTACCTTTATTAGAATTGTTATTATGCAAACCAACAACCCTAGTAATTCCCATGTAACTTCTGGCAACCATACACAAAGCCTATACAAGTACTAAGTTTTAAGCCATATGTATAGTGTCATGAAGATGCTATATACATTTAAAATCTAGATAATGCTGGATCAAAGACTGATAGTCAAATTGCTGAAATATGGACATGTAAGTTTATTTGTATCAATTGAGACACAAATAAAATTATCATAGAAATTAATCAAATATATATTAATCATTAGACACACATAAAACTGTATTTAAAAGCCGGAAATGAAACAAACCCGTCAGCCTAAAGCCATACACAAATGTGCGTTAGCTGAAGTCCCCATACCAAATACGTAAACGACGAGATTAATAATATTATGCTGAAATAACTTGTACGAGTCTGTGATAATTGTATATTACAAAGGAATATAATCTGGTAATCACAAATATGCGTGCGTATGTACTTACGTATCAACATTGACCCCATGAGAAAGTAAATAAACGATAATTGGGACATTTCCCATCTGTATTGCAACATGAAAACATCCTAGACCAGTATTATCCATAAACGATGGATCAGCGCCCCTTTGCATAAGGAAGTGTACCATGCTTAAGTGTGATTGCCTAATAGCCCAGTGAAGTGGGGTTGCAGCAAGATGACCACCTGGTCTATCTATTATTGCACCTTTCGATAGAAGATAACGAGCAATGGCTAAACGGTTGTTTATAGCGGCCCAGTGGAGCAGCGAGACATCCTCATCATCCAGTTGGTTGACATCATAACCCGCTAGTTGCGGATCTGATGGTTCCACCAACTCAATGACTCGTTTTGTAATTCCATACTGAACAGCTTTGACTATTCCCCATGTTGAATAGTCTGTTTCAACAACTGGTGGGTCAGAATAAGATGGGTCAACTGGATAAGGCTTGGCATCCTAAAAAATGCGTAAATATTAGAAAGAACATAATTAGCCAAATAAAAAAATTTTTAAACTAAGTTTTTATATCATGACTAAATATAATTTCTACAGCTTATTTTCTTAGTGAAGTTTTGTTCTCTGATCTGGATGGTTTGGTTATGGAGATTTCAACGTTTGACAACGTTCGGCACAAACATCTGCCTGAAGTTCGTGCTGATGTTGTTCAGAAAAACGACGAAAGCTACGCGACCAAGCCATCCAGCTCAGAGAACAAAACCACCAAATTCACCCACCTGAGTTACAAATATTCCCCACCACCTAACAATTTATTTTGCTTGTTGACCGTTTCAGTTAATACTAGTTATAAGGCTTTTAATTTACTGCATGGTAAAAACTGAACTTTACCTTGTGATTACTCAGCAAACTGATCGAAAATTAGATTATTTCACTAAGGTAGCATCAAAGTTTTGATAATTGATTGCCTACATACGGTAGCAACTTCGTTGTCGTTGTGGTCAGATAGAGCCACTACAAAGACCCGACTGACATATGGTGACCGAAACACTTTTTTTCAAGTTCTATCACAATAAAACTTAATTTAACGCATAGTGGAACGTGCATCATATGACACTAGAGTCAGTGAAAACTTAAAATTAGAGCTTTCGGAAATTCTAATTATTCAGAGAAAGTCTGTCTTGAGTAACAAAGTTAACAGGAACATTAAAAAATGTCGACTTTTGTAGGGAATGTAATTTTTGCTTAAGAATTTTCTTCACGTAATAAAGTGCATTATACCACTGGGTTAGAGTAGGAACACTAGAAGAAAGATAACATTCCATAGGATGTCGTATGAAATTGGAAGCGCAATGAAAGATGGCTTATGTGTCATTATGAAATACGTGAATAGATGCCAATGTTTGAATTCTACAATATATGAAATCGATTTTAGAAAATCTACTATTTGACTAAATGGTAAGTATGACATTGTGCTTAAGCCAAAACAAGAAATTCCTGCTCATGATGCAGATTGTGTTAAAGTATTTGACAAGATTAAATGGACGAGACTGTAATATATGGATGAACCAATAAGATTAAAAAGACAGCAAGTTTGGTATTTCGTCGCGAAATACACCAATTTATATATGGTTAAATAGCATTCTGTCACTATAGCTTAAGTCAGTTTGCGATAAAAACCCTAAATTTCAGATCTCAATGCTAATCCTCGTGATAATTCATAACCCTCTCCTGACACCCGTTGAATTAAATTTTCTCAGTCACTTTAGCGTCACTCAAAGGTAGTTCGTAAATTATAGTCTCATTATTAAATCCTGAGTCTGAGGCGATTGTGCAGTACAATATTTTCTCACCTTGTCGTGACCCTAAATTACATACTTAACCTCTCAAATTTTATAAGCAAGTGTCAAAGTTTTATTGAGTAGTAGCTGATGTTATTTCTTAACAAAAGAACAGGGATAAAACCCAACCTCACAGCACAAGCCTGATTTTCAATATGTATAATTAAAGTTTTTATTTCACCTTAATGAATCGTCCAATATTTGAAAGCTGATATGTGTCTTATTTTTTTGTTGCCCCTAGCACTGATAACCTTTGAAGCCAGAGAAACAAGGTTCAAAACTGCGAACTAATATACTCAGTGTGGGATCGCGTATTTCTCATTGAGTAGTCAATGACTGGGACACCCTACCCAAACAACTGGTATCAACGCCACCATTTAACATTATCGAGTAGAAGCTGGACTTTTATTGAAGAACAAATTGCAAGAATTAACGCAGATTGATCAACCTATCACATTTATTACCAAAGGCCGAACTACTTCACTGGTTCCAACATGCGCGGGTAGTGATTTCACGATAATTTCGACCAGATTCTTGTAATGCAGACATAGTTTACCTTCCAAGAAAACACCCTACACTAGTAATGCAGTACAGATCGAAACACTGAACAGTACACCTGTTATTTACACTCTTATTTTTTCCACTAACCCTGCTCACACTGGTGGTTATGGTGTAACTCGTATGGTGAGTCAAGATCCTACTTGAAAACAACCTCAGGCACTTATTCTATAACGTTGTCCGGTAGCAACCACTTTGTCTAACTAAATTTCTTGCTCTCACTTGTAATTCTCTACCCAACAACAAAAAGCAAAACAACTTTCTAAGTGTGCAAACCACAGTTCACACTTTACAGCATTAAATACAGGTTAAGCTACAGAGATGGCACCCATGCAATACATTTACATAAATGGTTCAGTGAATTATCAATTAGATTTCAGAATCTGAATCTGAATCTAGTAATGACTTGCTCCGAAACAACCATTCACTAGAATCCTATAAATTTTCACTGGAAACTTTAAGTTTAAAATTAATTTCTTGTTAGCGATTATTTCATTTAAAGTAGTTAATTCAGTATATTTATACCATTCACAAATCTGCATCCAGATGCAAGTTCTTATTCGGAAAATTCCTTAATGGGCTTATAGAGAGCCCTGTTAAACTACAATTAAGGCTTCAATGTCAAAATTCGATGTAGAACAAGTGAATTCAAAAATTAACGAATATAAAATCAGAAGTCTTATAATAGTGACCGCATAAAATGAGTATTCGGAGAACAAAAACAAACCAACATCAAATTATGAAAGCAGTTTTCAAAAATTGAAGGATGACTAGTTTTGGGGATCGACTGGCAGAAAATAAAAGCAGATTGTTTTGTAGTAAAAACATGATACAACCTTCATCTCCAGTTACGCCGAATTTGAAAAATCGGCATGCTGATCTCCATCCAATATACAATGTGACCCGGACAATTTCAATAGATTCCTTGTCATGGAATGATCTTTTCAGTGAAGATCAGTGTCGCCAAAAGCTAGAGAAGTCATTCAATTACAAAAACGTATTACATTTTTTGGCTAACTACGTTAGGACTGTTATAATAATTGAGAAACTACAAAGTTGCATTCAGTTTTCAGTAATGAGGATAGTAAGTTGGTGAACCTGTGTTAATCCTGACACATTGCTTTCCAGTGAAGGTCCAGCTTTTTTTTGAAAGTATTCACTGATGAGGCTGATACCACTTGTTCGAGTAAGGCGTTCCATTCATTGACTACTCGATGAGAAAAACGGGACCCCACTTTAAGTTTATTAGATCGTGGTTTATGAACCTTCTTGCTATGACCTCGGAGATTATTAGTGCTAAAGGGAGCAAAAAGATAAGACATTAACACCCAAATCATAATTAAAGATACGGAATGCCAGTATAAGGTCACCTCGTGTCCTACGATACGACAAGGGGAAAAGATTTAAGCGTTTTAAACGCTCATCGTAAGGGAGTCTAGAAAGACCCTTCACTAATTTCGTTCCCACACGCTGAACACGCTCAAGGGAGTTAATATCCTTTACCAGACACGGGTTGGTAGCTTGGATACAGTACTCTAAATGTGGTCTAACATATATGGGATATAAAATTCTAAACATTTCCTTGTCAAAAGATTTGAATGCTCGGCGAAATGACCATAACGCACGAAAACCTTTGACAGCGGCTGCTTTGCAATGCTTAGTTGTTTTTAAATCATGACCTAATATTACTCCTAAGTCTTTATGCTCTTGAACGCATGGAAGAGGTTTACCCTCAATAGTGTAACGGTAACTATTACCGTGACCGATGTGCATTAGTACACTCTTCCTAGCATCGATTTCTGAGCCCCACTCTCGAGCCCATCTAACTAAAACGTCCAAGTCAGCTTGAAGATCCAGGTGATCAGCCTAACTTTTTCGTGTTCTCCAGATTTTTACGCCATCCATAAACAATAGTGTCGACGACTTAAGCAACAGCGGTAACTCATTAACGTAGAGAAGGAAGATCAGAGGGCCTAAGATGGTGCCTTGGGGTACACCACTTCTGACCGGCTTCCAATCGAATGGCGTTCCGTTGACCCTAACTCTCTGTCTGTGGTCACATAAGAAGTTTTCTATCCACTCAGGTACAGTACCTATTATCCCGATGCTCATGAGCTTCTGCGTAAGACCTACGTGTGAAACCTTGTCAAATGCTTTGCTAAAATCTATGAATATCACGTCGACAGACAAACCGTTATCTAGGGCTGCTGTCCAATCCTCCCTCGCAATAAGCAAGTTAGTCAAGCATGAACGCTTGTTACGAAATCCGTGTTGCTCAGGAGCTAACAGATTGTGTAAATCTATGTGGCTTAGCAACCTAACCCGAATTATCTTTTCGAGTAACTTAACGACAATGCTAGTTAGACCGACAGGCCGGTAGTTAGATACGATCTGTCTCTGACCATCCTTAAATATAGGACTAACTATAGCGTTCTTCCAATCTCTAGGGAGTTGAGCGAGTGAAAGGGACATGTTGAAGAATGTCGCAAGCGGTTTTGAAATAATGTCCGCAAGAGATGACAACAACCGTGGATGTAACACGTCAGGGCCCGGTATCTTACCAGGTTTGAGGTTAGTTATCAACGGAAGGACAGTTTCCTCAGTCATCTGTACAGATTCAATGGTTGGTATCTCAGTGTGAGTGGGACACGTGTTTGTTACAATAAACGTAGACTTCGCTAAAATAGTTTGAAAACGTCTCAGCTTTTGCCCGATCTGATTCAGCTAGTAATTCTGAGTTTTCGTGTAACAGTAACGGGGGAATACTATCACTACGTTTCATTTGCCCTTTAAGATACAAAAACAATCGTTTCGGACAAGTACGGCTATCATATACCAACTGTCATTCGTAAGTGGTACGAGATTTGGCTATGGTTTTCTTACAGATATTACGGTATTTTTGGTACTCACGCTTAAATGGTGCATGACCTGTCAACAAGAATAAGTCCCAGAAGTGTTTTCTACGCTTTAACAGCTTCCGGGTTTCCTTATTAATCCATGGAGGGCAATGTGATAGCTTACGTGCTGACCATGGGATAAACGGCGACGTTACGGACTCGAATGTAGCCTTGAACTTATTCCATTCATCTTCGATCAATCCATCCGCGACGACCGACCAATCAGTCGAGATAGCACAGTTTCTGATTTCCGGAATATTGGCTCGCCAGATATTGGGACGGGGTGGAGCAGATACGAATTGTATACCATGTGTCCTAAACTTAAAGTGAAAAATATAATATTGAATAAAGCCATTAATAATAATAATAATAATAATAATAATAATAATAATAAATTACAACGTGATCACTGTTCACTAGTGGAGGAAGGTGCTGGATATCAAGGACATCCTCAGAGTGGTGGGTGAGGGCGAGGTCCAGCAGTGACGGACCATGATTGAAATCAATATGTGTCGGTTTTGTGATACATTGTACAAGTGCACATTGAATAACGGTAGATAAAAGTTCGCTATCGAAACCACTTCCTGGAGCTGTAAGCTCTATCCAGTTGATATGCAGTGCGTTGATGTTCCAAATGATGAGACAACATTCTGCCATACTCTAAGAACAGATGTGTCTTAGGATAAAGTCATCAGCAAGACAAAACGGACTACGGTATATTCCTCCTATAGTCACTAACCCATTTCTAGATTTAATCTTACAACATGCAACCTCACATGTACCACTAACATGAGCCTCCGATATGGTTGATTGTATACGAAAGTGATCCCTAACGTATAATATTATACCTCCTCCCTTCCGACTTAAAACTCTATCACTTCTGATACAGATATAGCCTGTATCTACTGTGAACCAAGTTTCTGTTACAACGATTAATCGGGACATAATTCTTGCACCATCAGACTTAGCTCGGACGTTTTATTTCTAAGACTACGAGCGTTCGTCTAGCACACGCTTAAGGTGTTTTGGCAATCTAACGTTCTACCCATACAGGCCTCGGAAGCATTGGCTTCCAAGACCTGATTACCCGAAAACCCTTAATGGTAAGGTTATTTTTACCATTTAATTTGCGAGTTATCAACTCCGTGAGACCATTCTTCCACTATATTCGGGCCTCAGGCGGCCAATCTGGTCGGATACGGATATTTGAGGCACGAGTTTTTAGTGCGCTTTTCAATAATATGTCTCTTTCATCAAAATTCCCGAGAACCAGCTTCAGGATTTTTCTTGATTGAGTCTCGCCTCCAATCCATTATCCGAGTCGTATTACTTTCGTGATATGTACCCCCGGAACCTCTTCAAGTAGTACACTTGTAGTGGCATTGGACCATAACCACACAATCCAAAAAGCTGAATACGAGATTACTCGTATTAATATCATAGTAGACCATAATACTACATTAGTGAGCCCAACTAAAGAAACGCAACCTATTATTGTTAATTCTTATATCCACCTTAACCTTCTCAATCGACTTTTATTTGTGTGAACCCATTATTCTGATTAATGCTCACATGTATTATCGTAATGTTATATTGATCAGTTCTCATGACATCCTAGCTCAGTCAATAAAATTTGGTTGTCTATATAAACTAATTAGCTTCGATGGTTCGTTAACAAGCTTTAATAGCATTTACATGCTTCAGCGACATAGACTTGTTCAAACATCAAGCTCTAGCAAATGTGAGCTGTAAATAACGTAAATATACATTTTCTAACAATGCAATCAACGATTGAATAGTTATCTGTATCTAATTCTTATCGTTCCTTCACTTAACACCTCATCCTATTTCAAACTATGCACTATCCTGTAATATCTTTTCTTCCGACAACTGCCTGCCTAATTTTATATTCTCGAATTCCATTGCCAAACAACAAAGAATCACTTCTCCAAAAACATACGGTGACTTCCAGCCTTAATCATTTTAGATGGCTCGTTCAATGAAAACCACATAATTATCTGAATTTATGCGATTGTTCTGATCCGAGCGAGTGGCAAAAATGTCAACAGCATCAAGCACCCTGGAATTAATTGCCATCATGCATGTTTTATTCTGGATAGTTTTTATTATTATTATTATTCACAAACATCTTATGGGTACATAAGTGTTGTGAAGAAACCATTTCGGGTTTCTTCAGAAAATGCAATAATACACAATTTTCAATAATGTTAGCATTATACTTGCCATATTTAAAAAATAAAATAAAATATTTAAAGAAAAAATTTAGAATAATAATAGTAGAATATTAAAAATAATAAATCGGGTATGTGTAATTGAGAAGAATATTGAATTGAGTTTAAAGAAGGAAATGGAGAAAATAAGGGAATAGAAATAAAGGAGACGTGAAATAAGCAAACAGTCTAATAGGCGTGTTTATGAACAGAGAAGAAGAAAAAACGACCATGTGTGTATCGTTAAATTAGTAACAAAAAATAATTTATCATTGTAGTAAGATATGACGCTAGAATAAATGTTTGTGCAGTTATAGTTTAGTGTGATGCTATGAAAGTCACAATTAAGTGAAAAGGATAATAAAATATCACTCTGTATGAGTCATATATGCATAGTGAAGATAAAACGAATCTGAGAAGTTAATTTAAAGTGTAACACAAGTTATTGTCTTAATTACACACTTCTTAATCTCAAGAATAAGATTTATTTAGAAGGGAAGAAGAGAGAGAAAAGAAGTGAACACCTAGTGAAAAGGTTCATCCATGATAAGAATAATAATTGTGTAATGAATATTAACCTCAGAAGGAAACCAGCAATTGAAAAAAAAATTAAAAAAAAAATAAAAATCCTTTAAAGCACTCGATGGAAAACATTTAGATTTATGTAATAGTATACAGAATGAAACCGGATATTAGTATAAATATTTGTGCAAT